CCTGTGGCAGGGGATCTCCTGGTGCTCAGTGCAGAGCAGCACATCGGTCAGGATGCGCTCCTGCCGCAGGATGTTGAGCTGGACGAGCAAGTGGCAAGGAAGTTCTGAGTCTTTGAAAGAGAAAATGTCCGCTCGTCTGCCGGCCATCATGTTGCTGGCAAAGGAAGAATAGAGGCACAAAATTTTTCAGTTGAAGTTACAGTGCAATACAACAAATGTAATAAATATACTTGATTTATGCTGCTAAGTTTGTTACCATTTTCTAAAATTGCATTCTGATTTTCACACCACCGTGTAAAAAATGCCACTTTTCAAAATAAGCTGTCTGAATCTGAAGCAACATCACATTCCGAACAAGTCATCGCCAAGGTAGGGTAGGGTAGAGGGGCAGCAGAAGCTAACCAAGGCATCATTCATGCTAGAAATTGAAACATATTGAGCAAAACCTTTAGTCTCAAAGCAAACAAAAAAAAAGAAAAAGAAAAAGGAAAGTGTTGGCTTCTTTTGAAAAATGCTTTTGTTTTACCATTCCGTTTTAATTTCACAATTGGCTATTCCTCCTGATCAAATATACATATCTCATTGGCTTAAGTCTGCAAACAGTATGTTTGGTGATTTGGTTTATTGGAAAGCCGATCATTCATGACTCACTCAGAGCAGCTGTCCTTACTATGAATCACTGACTCTCTAATTTTCTATTTTAAAGCCCATCCTTATACACCCGTCCACCATTATTCCACATCTGTCATCAGGCTGCCTATCACTGCTAACATTAAACAGACTGTGTCAACAGACCATCTGTGTTTGCCTCTCTTTCATTCTGAATCTCTCCCCCAGGACCCATTTCACCCTCTCTAAACTCTGCTGCTATTTTCAACATGTTATGAGGTTTTTTTCTACAATATTTCTCGTCTCCGGTGCCAGAATCTGATCCTCTGCAGTGGTGGTCTCTGTGGTGATCCAGGACAAAATTCTCTGAACAATTAGCAACAAATTCTTGGTAAAAAAAAAAAAAAAAAAAAATCATTGACAGTGTCCTGGCTGCCTGATACATTTAGACGCCTAATCATTATTGTGTATTATTAGATGACTGCGGCTGAGAGTGACATTTCACAGCAAGCATATTTACCTTTGTCCACTGGTGGAGAGTCAGAAATTAGACTTCATTTGAACCAAGATTTACAGACATAATGAAATATTTCAGTTGCTTCCCATCTTTACTTTAATTTGTTTCCCTAAAACAAATACCTTTCAACTTTTAATACTTTTAATGTTGGAAAATGGAAGTTATTAGTTCAAAACATAGCATCTAATATCTTTTATTCATGAATACTCTTCTGACATTGCCAACCTTTTACAAATGAAAGCTAAAATTGGCTGCATTCCATGACTGAGCTGAAATGTATGTAAATGAATTGTCTAGATGATTGTATTCATTTTAATACATGTTATATTCCTGTTCTAAATTGGCAAAATGTCTTGTGTTAAATTAACACTGTACAGAAAATTTGAATAGAACAGAAAATAAAACAATGTCTGAACTGAAAGGATATGAGCTGAATTGAATGCATTTAAACACACCTGATGTGATCTTTTAATCATAAGGACGACATATTCCCAAGTAATTTCAAACTAACTTTGATGAACACTATGTAATTGCACGCTGATGGTGTCCTGAGTCTTCAAAGTATGAAAAATTTTCTCACTGAAAAATAGTTTGTCCACATTCTAGATCTCTTCCCAAGTTTAAAGAATGTGGTAGCAAGACCCCATAAAAATATATACATATATATTATTGGCCGTCTAGTCCTACCCAACCTTTTGGGTACCCAACCCTTCTGAGATTAACTGAGAAGATCATGGTGAACGACTTTGTGGTGAGAAGACGTTCACCATGATTTGGGTGAGGAGTTGCATCATTTAGGCAATAAATAATGCATGACCTATTCCAGATCATGCATCTTGATGTTGTTTACCACGACATGTAGACTTTGTACCAGAAGTCTACAAGCCTGCAGCTGCCAATATTCCCAGATCATGCAAGTTAAGAGAAAGAATCAGAGTGATCTGATCAGGTTCTGATCAGTTCTGAACCATAAAGTAGCATCTCTCTTATCACGTTCTGTTCCTAGTGTTCTGGTGCAGGAAGCTATTGGACCAAAAGACATTTGTTCCCCCAAAGCTATCGACCCTCAACCAGATCTTCATTCCCTCTTTATGTTTGTGATGAAGATCCTCCAGGAGGACAGATTATGATGCATGTTATGATGCTGATTATTTAAGAACATAAATGTGGTTTAACAAAACTTTTAAACCGCCTCACCTACTAAGGCAGAGGTGAATGATCTTTAATATCTGGTTACCTCCGTAAAATTAAGACCAATTGCTAATCATAAAAAAAATGCAGGACACAGTTGACACTTTTTGAGCTAATCAGGGAATAAAGCTTAAAACATAATAAAAACACACTTTAAATCAAAAGCTGAAGACTTTTTATAGTAATAACTGTTAGCTAACCCTGTTATTTTTCAGTCCAGTTAAATTCATGACGCCATGGATCCTTACCTCCTGTCCTTAGAAAATCAGTAACATCCACAGAATAGCATCAGTTTGATATGAATTGAAAAAAGAAAAAAGAAAAGTTAAAATACAATCCAGAGAGGTGTCGGGTAGGGACAATGACACAGAGAAATGACACAGAGTTTTTCAGCTGGGCGCTGTGGAGAGTGCCATGAGGCCACTGTGTACATTCCTTCATCTAAGAATAGCCTGGTGGGCCACCGTGACTCTACTGGGCCTCTCATGTGACACAGGGTTGTGTGGCACCGCCGGGGTCCAACAGAGGCGGTGAATACAATGGTCCTGGAGTGGGACAGTCATCCCAGGGTCTTGAATCAATCATGAGGCATGCCCACTCTGGATGGCGCTTAATTAAAGAGCTCCTGAGCTGACAGCCTGTTGTTTGAACCTTTCCTCCTCCACCTCTCTGATACATGTAGTTCACTATGGTGGCAAATATAGATCTGCACTGATCAGGATAAACAGCTGTGAGAACCAGTAGAGGTATAGGCGTCCAAATGTGTGTCTAAATGCTATGAGAGAACTAAAGTTAAATTTGTTATTTGTGTACACAGATATGGCAAGTGAAGCTAAACTTTAAATGAAGGTTATTCATTCTTTTTACTACTTTAATTTAGAGGTATCATTCACCAAGTTCTGATTAAATGTTTTCCTTTGAGCTGAAGCAGAAGTAAAACCAACAGTCTTGATTTTTATTATTTTTAAGTCAGTCAGCACACTGAAACTAATAGCCATAACGATGACTTTTATTAGATAGAAAGTTTATGATGGTGGGACTTTAAGTACATCTAACTATTGACTCTACAAACAACCTGTGATGTTCTAAAGGAATCAACTATGAAGATGTGTAGGTTGATAAACTCCACTGGGATCTCAACTTGAAATTGGATGTATCTGATTTTTTTCAGCAACTCCAGTGAGTCTGGCATAAATCAAATGATGAAAATGTGGAAAAGCAACCCACCGCACTGCTGAGTAAGTAGAAAGTCTGTGATGCTGTGGGCCTGTTTCTTTATGAGATTTGCTTCTGGAATAAAACATTCACTTATTTCACATAACACAGGAGTATCACAACGAGGAGCATAAATAATTTTGAAAAGTATTGTATTTAAAAAAAAAAAACACTTTAACTTCAAAGTTAATCTAAATTTATTCTTGCTGTGAGGAATTGCAAAAAAGTCATCAACACAATGCAAGCGAATTTGTATTATATGATTAAAGTGAATTAAATTCTAAGGACAAACGATGTTTCACTCTCTTATTTTAAATATTAGTTGCATATTAGACCATAGAACATTTTCCAAAAAAGCTGAATCTTTATTTCAATGTAATGTCTTAAATGTAGCCATTCTCTGCACTCTGAACAGCTTACTGGGCAGCTGGATGAATTATTGTCATGTTTGTTTAGTCTCATATGACAAAGATCTGGGGTTTCATGTCGGCAGATAAAATAACATAGCTAGAAGAAAGTGAGCTGTCAGCACGATCAGCTTTGAGAGCATGTGGCGCTTTGGAGGACTTTGTCACTGACACCAGTTACTAAGTTACAACTCCATTCCTGCAGATGAAGGTGTCACTTGAAGACGTGTTAAAAATAATTGTAAGATGTAGCATTTTTTTTAGAAATGCTAATTCTCACTTTCTCTTTTCTCTGCAGCTGCTGTTTTCTTGCTGCTTGATAATTTGCACGTATTTTCAAGGAGAAACAGAGGCTGCCTGCCACCTTGGTTCCTGTCTTGCAACATGTTAAGCAGATCTAAGCATAATGAAATGAAGCTGATTCTGTAGAACAAGTCCTGCCACATCTTTGAAGTGTGTGCGCAGCTTTTGTTGCTCTCCCAGTTTGTGTATTAGGATCTTCCCCTGGATTGCCTATCTTACTTTTGCTGTCATGTCACTGTCAACTGATTGTCTGGGAATAAAACTGCATCCCCTCATGTGATGAGATAACTATTTATCAAATTAATCAGAAAGTAGGACCTGCTGTCAGTTTAACCTTTAGTTGGTATGAAATAATTGCTGTGAATTTTGAATAGCTGTGGGAATGCCATTAATGCTTCAACTGTTTATAAGTTGGAAAATGTATAACTTAGTAGTACAACTTAGAAGTAATACTAATTATGATTATCAGTAATAACAATACAAGCAGTATATAATTGCTAAAGGATGCTAGCCTTACATTATTCTCTTCAGAACTAATGTTGGGGGCACAATGGATTTAATAAATAAAATTGTACATAATTAAATGTCATATCGCTGAATATTTAGACAGATCATCCTGCATCCTCCCAACAAGGACTTGAATTCACCATGATTTTGTCACAATGAACCTATTTCCATTAGTATAAAGGCAAAGTGAACAGAGTTCTAAGGTCCATTCAGCTCGAGCGTCACGCCTCAACCGGAAGTGACGCTGAAAAAGACAACAAGGAAGTGGCCGTTTATTGTGGAGGAAAATAACTGCCAGGTTCAACGTCTCCTCGCCGCTGGGTTGTGTTTGCTGCATGCTCGAGTGCCAGGAGGGCTGAAGTCACCGTGGACTCGCCCGGGAACCCGCTTCACGTCGCCCCGAAGGATTCTGCTCGTAGCCCGCTCGGTAGCTAGCAATGAACACGGACGTGGAATTTCACATCAGGCAGAATTATCCGTGGAACAAGCTGCCAGCGAATGTCAAACAGGTACCGAGCTGTTAAATGTTTCCTTTGTGGGCGGCGGAGAGGGGCCACGGAGCAGGGGGGCTGGCAATGTCACGGCGGAGCTCCGGGTGTCATTCAGCCAGCTGTCAGAGTCTCCTCCTCTGCTACGGAGCCATAGCCGACCACCATCCATCTACTGAAGCCAGTCAGCCTGCCTCTTCTCTGCTGCTCTGACATCACATGACACACGGGCTAATACGAAGAACCACGTGATCTTTGCGCGTGGGGGGGCCCACCTGCAGATTGTGCACGCACATCTTCACGCATAATCGGTTTTGTCCGTGCATCAAGTATAGTGAAGGGTATTTTCACACACGGTCTAAATAAACCCCTCCTGCTGCATGCCTTGATTTTAGCAGTACATCGGAAGGAAGTGGAGAGGGTTGCATTCAAAAGCCGGTGCATTCTAGTTTTATTCTCTTAAAACTTTCCAGCAAGTCACAGGCCTTCTGCAGGATTGATGCTTGTGCAAGCTTTAATGCATTTTAGGAGGATCTTGTTCCAGGAATAACCTAAAAAGTTGCTGCATGCATTTATATTCAATCGATGCATACCAACTGGGGTATGTTCCTACCAGCTTTGCACATTTAAAGATGGGACATTCACCCTGTTTCTCTATGTAAAAGAACGCAAGCTCTGTCAGAGAGCCATTGGACATTGTTCAGGTATTTCTGCTCTACCCCCACCTCAATTTTTTTGCATGGTCTAACAGGTGTTCTTCCATTTTTGCCTCTTGTTTAGTCCCATCTCACCCAGAAAAGCATCCAGTCAGCAGGACAGGAAAACTGTTCACATTGCACAACCAGCAGGAGGGAAGCACACATAGTATGCTGACACCACGTTTGGCCATAGTGTGCTTAGGATGATGTGTAGCAGTAGCATAATCTGTCCAACACACAGTTTATTTCACCAGCAAGCCAAAAGTAGGAACTGCATGTGTTTTTAGCGTAATCCAAGTTAACATCCTGTTGAGTTTAAATCTAAGGAAATTATGCCAAACATATGCAAAAATGACATTTCTAAAAACACAAAGCAATAAGCAGGAAGGCTATATCTCAATGTCTTGGGATGAAAATGACATCACAGTGAATCCCAGCCCAGGAAATAAGTCAGCACAACAGGAAAACTTTTCACATTGCACAACCAGCAGAAAGAAAGCAGTTCTGAAAAAGAGTCCCTGTTCATTTCTGCTGCTTACATGATGAGGGTAATCCTGCCTTGATCCTTACAGGTGTGCCTTTGTTCTCTTTTGCAGAGTTTGGGGAACTCACAGCGCGAGTATGAGAAGCATGTGCTGCTATACAGCATCCGCAACCAGCTACGATTCCGCAATAACCTAGGTGAGGAAGTCCGTCTGCCACACTGTAGGAGAACATAAACAGGTCGCAACAGGTCATGATGAGAGATTAATGAAAACTGTCAGCAGGGATGCAGTAGATCATATATTATTTCATCTATTTGAGTTTAGAAAGTGGCTACAGTACAAGACTCTGCTTGCAATCAAAGTGAAAGCAGAATTTCTGCCCTTGTGACCTGGTGTTCTTAGATAAGCTAGTCTCATTTAGCTGCAAATTGATCAACTGTTGATCAACTGCAAACTTTTTTGCCCCTGACTGTGACCTGACCACTATCTGTGGGTGTGTGTTTTTTATTGAGCAGTCCGCCACGTCAGGAAGGACGAGCGCAGGTACTATGAGGAGCTGCTGAAGTACAGCCGGGACCACCTGATGCTGTATCCCTACCACCTGTCTGACATCATGGTCAAAGGGCTGCGAGTCACTCCGTTCTCGTACTACATAGGAATCATGGAGGTAAGAAGTCTCTGACTGCAGTGGAGGGTTTGCAAACACTGGACACTTTTTCTGAGAGATCAGTCTCTTCTAGATTAGCAGAACATCTCTTGTTCAGAACTGTTTTCTGACTGACGGGGTGGATTCACTTAGAGCAGAAATTCTTGTTAGAGCTCTGAAGATTTTCAACCAGTTTGTACTCATTTAAAGTGAACAATGATTTTGGCAGCGCAGCAGGATTGTGTGTTTTGGCTGGAAAAACGGACATTGACAGGGATGTGAGCTGTCACTAGCTCTGTGTCAGTTCACATTTTAACCACAGAAAACACAAGTGTGACAATATTATTTGGCAAACCTAAATGGATGTTAAATCATTAAAATCTGCAGACAGTGAGGATAACTTTTCATATATTAACAATGTATATGTCTGTAATTTACAGTTGAACTTCGTTCTATCGTTATTCAAACCCCTATTGTATAATTAACTTTACTGTTAAAATAAAGGTTCTTGTAAAATCTACACCTCATCCTGAGGGGCTAAGTCCTCTAGCAGACTTTGAGACAAGCTTTGGATCATTCTACATTTTGAACTTTCCTCCTAAGCGCTTCTGCGGCTGGATTCCTTTCTTTGCCACCAGGTGGCAGAGCAGCAGTTTCTTTCATTTTAAACTTGTGAACTACGGTTTGGTTGTCACTTTGGATTTGTACTGCAATATTTTATCTTAGTAAAGAGTTCTATTTGTAGTACAGTCTAAAGGAAGTGCATAATTAATCACCTGTTTAAACAACTGTTCTTGTGTAATTAGTTTATTGCAAACACCTAAACATGTTTTAATGTCTAGCATCTGGTAACTAGCTAGACAATGTAATATCTGGCAGTATGTCTAGTTTATTTGGCAGCCAGAATAACCGAAGAGCAAAAACTATACCTAGTTTGCCAAAAAATGTTTTTTTTTTTTGCATCAGTCAGGAACTAGATGTTGATCAGTTTTCAATAAGCCACCATTATCTCTATCTGACCTCCCATCATCTCAGATTACCTCGTCTATGCTGCTGTAAATGGATTCGCCAATCAAATTTCTCAGTGGACTTCTCATTTTCAGGCTGTCACATGCATTTTTTTGCATGTCGGCCAACGTTTTGGTCTCATCTGATCTGAGCTCCTTTCCACATGTCTTCTACCTCAGATCAAAAAGTTTGATTGCTACAAATGCTTTTACCAGGCACTGTAGCAGTGCTACAGATCCCAGAATAAAACACTCGGGAAGAAAAGCTACCATGCTATCTTTTTCTGCTGAGCATAGGTGCTAAAATGCAGAATGTTGATGGTTTACATTAAATATTAGTAGATGCTTTTCACACTCATTTCCCTATCAGTTAGTTGTGTTCCACAAGAATACTGATAGAATAAGATGTGGGGCTCAGTAACTTTCATCATGCTGCCTACAGTTACAAATTTTTCAATGCTAATGCCTATATTTGAAAAGAAATTACAGAACTTTCTAAAAAAAAATCCTTAATTGTTTCCAAGAGATTAAAAAATGAGAACATTTTTAAAAATCTGGTGGCTTTAATTAATTGAAACATGGGAGTTTTAAATTGCAGCTTTCCTAACCTCCTGCAGCAGGGAGCTGTGCTACAACGCTAATGTTAACTTGTACATAAAGAGGTAGAATTTGGTGTTAGCTGTGCTATTTTCTGTCCTACCCTATAATAAAGCATAGCTACATTTCAATAGATGTCAGCTACCACAAGGCTGCATTACTACCAGTGCATCTCTTAACTTTTTTTACTGCTTCATTGGTTTGCTAGTGCTAACACTAACAGAAGTAATCAGTGGAAATATGCTGCTGAAATTGACAGTCCTGTAAAATGTTGCTGGCATTTATTTAGCCACTTTTCCGATTATATTCATAAATATACCAAATCTTCTGCATTACCACAAACTCTTTCTTTACATATGTGTATGCAGATGTCAGATGGAACATTAGATTTCACCACAATTGGTTTATATCCTGTTTTACTTGGAGCAGTATGAGAAACAGACTTTGTTATTTTTGCTACTTTATAAACTGGAGAAAAGACCAGCAATTATATCTCTCAGCTCATTTACCAAGGCATCACCACCTTTCCCTTGCCTGCTTAGCTAAACTCCACGGAGCTTTAGCTGAGACTACTGAATTGCTGAAAGCTGTGTCACATTGTTAATCCATCTCCAGAACTTAATGAAAACCGGGAGCAGAAATTAGCTTGGTTGCCAAAATCAGATAATCCTTTTCTTAATCAGCAGACAGCGACACACTTTAATCCCTTCTCTTCTTGTTTTTTTCCTTCTTCAGGATATTATGAACAGTGAGAAGAGTTACGACTCCTTGCCCAACTTCACTGCTGCTGACTGTGAGTTTAAACATTTTTTTTTTTACCTTTTTAAACAGTTTCCTCTCTTCCTGCCCACAATTGAAATAATTTTAAAGAATTTCTGCTTTTTACCTCCAATATATGTATATATATATATTTTCTTCTGGATCTGATGATGAAACTTTATATGAAGCAAGTTTATGAAGCCAGAAAAACTGAAGGTGCAAAGATACAAGTACTTCTGTCAACTTACATCATGTTTACTTGTATTAAAATATATTTTTTTAAGGGTGATAAACAATAAAATAGAGAACCAATAAAATTTTCTTTGATCTTTTTCATGCTAATTGTTTAGTAAAATAAAATATGAAACTGGTAAGTTCACACTATGACACATACACAATCCCAGCTTTGATGTTGCTGTAACAAAAAAAAAAATGCTTGAAAATCTGCATCACATGATGTCAGCTCTAATATTTCTTTAAGCCTCTCATTTGAAATCCGATTTTGGAGTCGCTTTCATTTCGGAGTTCACGTGCAGTTGTACGTTGCCAAGCTAACCGGGTTTTGGCACGCTTTAGTGAATGGCTGGGTCCTTTCAGCGCAGAACCTTCATGCTGTGGAGACAGAAGGCTGCGTTCAGAGGCTACCTCTCTCCAATAATCCCCTCAGGAGGAGCTTTGGACTGCGTCGCGCAGAAGTGGGCGGATGGAGATGCAGAGCGAGTGTGCCTGAAAGAGTTAGGCGTGGGTGGATGTTTGTGTCCTGGTGAAACAGCAGGGTGCCTGTGTGTGTTCAGAGTCTGAATTGGAGAACATAATTACATGTTCCATTTTTGCATTGGACTCATTCGCACCAGATTATTTCAGCATGTAGAATAACAGGTGACAAGGTTGCATTTGAATCCTCTGAGAAAAATATTCAGCTTTTGCTAACTGTGCCAGAAATAGTGTAAAAGAATATTTCAGACCTTTCAATTAATCACGCTTTTTCTAGAATTTAATGGTGAATCAAGATGCAACTTCTATGTTTTTTTCTTGAACTTTTTAACTGTTAAATTTATGTTGCGTTAATTCCTTAATATGGGTAAATTTCTCATAAGCACTGTTGTTTAACCTTTTAGTTATTCTGCTCCATATAATGTAAAAATGATTATTACTGTTGTAGTCTCTTTGTGTGTTATTATCATAGTAACAACCTGCTTAAAGGCATCTTGGCAGATTTAGAAAGAGCTTAACTCCTCATGAGAAGTAAAACAAAAACACTGAGTCAGTGTAGACTTAGTGATCAGGAGATCAACTTTGCTTTTCATTTTTGGCTATCAACAACATTTATTATGGTTAAGTATTTTACAACCAAATAAAGCAATAATAATTGTTTTGTATTGTTAATAAGCTGTACATAAAGTGAATGAAAACATAAACACTTCAGAAAAATGAACATTTTATGGTAAAATAATTTCTTCTGAGAGTTTCTTCTTGTGCTGAATAGTAAAAGAAAGTGTGAATTTCTGTGAAACTTTTCATGTAGAAAACACCAGTGGGCATCTATACACTTTGAATCAAATGGCATCAAAGCACCTTTGATGTGACAGGAGGCATTTATGTAATGATAATGAAACTCCATCTTGTGTCTGTATAACTGGAACACACGGATCGCAGAGTAATAAAATAAAGACCTTCTGACTTGTGGGAAATTAGAGCTGTTGACACTTATTGATTTAGACACGAAAAGTGGTAAACTATCCAGATGAGGAAACTACTCGTCAAGCTTCGCACCTCCATAAATAGTTGCTTCCTCACTTTACAGCTGCACAGATAACACTTATAAATAAGTATTTATAAGTGAAGAGCGTGCTGTCTATAAATTCTATTTTAGTCGGGTTGCAAATAGTTTTTGTTTCAGAAAAAATGTTCAGATATGTTTCTAGGATTTGTTTTTACATTCACATCCTTGTGTCATTCCTCTTCAGCTTTTACCTATCCAAAAATATCCAAATTCATGTCCAGGACCAGATTGTGAGAGTTAAGTGAGCTAACTTTTAACTTTATATATTCCTATTATTACACAGGTCTGAGGCTGCTTGGCATTGGGAGGAACCAGTACATTGACCTGATGAACCAGTGCAGGTCCTCCAAAGTAAGATACATTTATTTTTTTAGGGCTATTCAAGGTCATATTACTTCACAAAACTACCAGAAGTACACATCAGAAAACCGGTCAAGTTCGTTTCTAGTGGTTGCATATCCAAAATGAGAAACCACTGATCCGGTTTTGTATTGACACGATTTAAGAAATTACACAGGTCATCTGATGGGAGCAAGAATACATTCCAAAAGCATTTTATTATGAAATGGGTAAGACGGAATGGATAAAATCAACACAAATTGCTGAAGAAATAAACCCATCTAGTTTACAGACTTGAGAACCAAGTCTAATTTCAAGCTTTATTAAACTAATAAGTTTTAAAGTAAACACCCAGTGCCTGTGTTTGGGTAGTGATCCGACAACTTGATGACTTTCTTAATTTACTGTGACGGGATGACATGTTTTGTACAGTATTGTTTTCCATTAATTTTATTTATTTGGCTTTTCAGCTAAAGACTTTTCTCTTAGTAGCTAAACTGATGCAGGGTTTTACTTGCTGAATGCTTTTAGCATTGGCTAGTTATGTAGAAGAATGTACCAAAAATAATTTGTGGCTGCAGATTAGTGGCTATTCTAATCTAAAAATAAATGTCACAGTTGTGATATCTGAAATTGTTATTCACTGGAACTTAATAAAACATATAATTGTACACAAAGAAAGTTTATTTATGTTTTATTGGTCAGTGTTCAAGCATGTAGCATACACAAAGATATATCTGTAATAACATCTACATTAAAAATGAAGACGCCTTCAGAAAAAAATCACCAATAAAGCTCAGGTGCCAAGTATATCACCCATAAAGTAAATCATATATACATGAATCAAGTTTTACATGGAAAAGCTGAAAAATCTAATAAAAAAAACCAACAACCTTTTTTAAGTAATGTCTACAAATTATACTTCAGTCACACTGAATGTGAACTAAACTTCGGCGATTTAGACGTCACACTGTTATGATGTTGATTTGAAAATACCACAGTGCTGCAGTATTTACCAAATATTTAACGCACTGCATTTTCATTCACTTTTGTCCTCAGAAATTCTTCCGCCGAAAATCGGCGCGGGACCTGCTGCCATCCAAGCCGGTGGAGATTTCTGTGGAGCCGTGGTGGGTCGCTCAGACGGGCTTCATCACCGAGGACGACATAAGGGTGTGGCACAACGTTTGTTTAAGATGGATTAGGATTCTGTTGATTGGCATTTTTTTATGTGTAACTTAGCTGAATGTGTATGAGGAACAACAAATAGGTATTTAAAAGGAGAAAGAGGTTCAGATAGTGTTTTTTAATTCTGCGTGTAATTGACTGGATGCTTTCTTTGCTAATATCTGCTATTTTTCTCACCGTCTGAATGGGGAGTTTTTGAAGCTTTTGATACACACTTAATCATGCTAAAATTTCTTATTTGGCGGTTTATTTTACAGATGAGTCTTCTTCAAACATTCTAACATTTTTTTGCCCAGAAAAGGAAAAAAATAAATAAAAAATCTTTAATAACTTCTGAAAGCTTCACAGTTCTTATCTGCAGATGTGTATTCAGTCCAAGAGGAACATCAGAAGACTTGATCATTCCAGGGCATTTTTTATTTCCAAGCGTTCTTTCATGTAGTTTGCACTAAGGCTGACATTTAATGATTTCCTTTTGGTTGAATGCAGATCTGTTCTACCGCTGAGAAGAAAGCCATCGACAAGATGATAGATTCTGGTCCTCAGCTGGCAGGAACAATAGAGTACAATGTGGTCCTAAGTGAGTATTTGATAATGTCCTGTCTGTGTACTCTTGCTGTGAGGAAGTGCTGTCTCCCCCTGGTGGCTAGGAGAGATATTACATGAACATGTCTGAGCAAGTAAATATTCTCTATGTACAGTAACAATGTTAGTGATAATGGTAGTAGTTAAGTTTTCAGGACACAGGAAAGGTTTGATTCTTTTAGATTTTATGAAGCAGAATAAATTAAGAGGACAACCACATTTAAAACAAGATTAATGACATGACGGTTCCGTTCGAATTGCTTTGCCTTTCCTCTTCTGTATAATTTTTTAAAGGGCTTTTTTATAATCTCCAGCTCTACAAGAAATAGCAGGCTTATATCAAGCATCGTCAATGTAGCTTAGATTTCACCAATTCACTTCTCATTTATGCCCTTGTTTTTAGCAGCATCGCTGGTATAAGAGTTTCAAGTATCTTACTTGTGGTCTCATTTGTGTCATTATTCGTGTTGCAGGTTTGTATAACCGGGGCTTTATTTACCTGGATGTTCCCATATCGGATGACAGCTGCATCTCAGGTACACCACTCTGTGTGTTGTAATTATTGCTGCTTTAATGCACCTGTGAGCTGTTCAGCCTGTGTGTACTTGAAGAAGCATCATGAACTGAATTGAAAAGATGTTTGTCTATGTGTATGTAGGTACATTAGTAAGTGAAAAGCTGTGGAGTCATCTTATTGTGAAAACAGTTTTTTTGTTTTTTTTTTTTTTTGGTACTTTGTCTTTCAGTGCCCCCTCTTGAAGGCTTCGTCATGAACCGTGTGCAGGGTGATTATTTTGAAACGCTTCTCTACAAAATCTTTGTGTCTATTGACGAGCAGACCAACGTGGCCGAGGTAGGCCTTGGACATGTCCTTAATTACTCTCTGATAACCGTTTGTCTGATAACTGATCTTTTTCTTTTTCTTCTCCCTGTCTGGGTCTCAGCTTGCCAATGTGCTGGAGATCGACCTGGATTTAGTGAAGGTGGGTTTATTTCTCAGGGATTCAGGGTAATATTGTGCAGATTTGTGTGCCTTGCTTTTCAATTCTTGAAGGATGGATATTCAGCCTTAAGGAAAGTTTATCTCCTGCAGGATCTCAGCATTTTAATGCTGATGGAAAGCAGTTTATATATATAGTATAGTCTTTTTTTAGGAATTTTCCATTTGCGCATGAAAAGTAATTTAAGTGAAAAAAAAATCTAATGCTTTATAACTTTTAACTTGGCCACAACTCATGATTTCTTGTTTTGCACTTTATATCTCAACTAATTTTTAGAATGAAGAAAAAAAAAATACTTATTTACTTACAGAAAGTAAGCTGACAGAATGTCATAGAGGCTGAGGACTAAACTGACGAATCAAATGCCTAAATTAAGACATAATTGCACATTTCTAACACACATTTTTAATTAAACAATTAAAATCATTAATTGTTTAATGATTTTAGTTTTGTACCTGCAAGCCTTATTAATGATATCTGTTTTTGTTTTTGCTCAATGCTGTCATCTCTTCAGCTGCTTGTTTGTGCAGCAGTTGTATTGTTCTTAACAGAAAGTTACAGTCCATCTGATGGTCCGTTTTATTGCCCTTTCATACTTCCACCAGTCGATCCCAACTTCATTTATCTTCTCCTGAGCTTCTCTACCACCTCCTCACCCACTCACACACACGCCTATGAAAAAGAACAAAATATTTTTTCTACATAAGGGAGCACTTTTTTAGTCAAAACCTAACAGCTGCCACATTCTTTCAAACTGCTGTGCATGGATCAGATTTTAGGATTTAGGAAATTATTCAAAGTTCCTCTTATTATGACAACAAGCTGAATTATATTTCTTCCTCAATATTTTTATGGATTTCTTTTTTCAGCCTTGATTTATAATAGCGGATGATTTTTATGCCTTCAGTACCCGACCTTCATTTAATAAGCAGGGTTTGTGTAAAGTCTGTGAAATCCGGCTTAATATCCTCCCAAATCATATTAAAAACCCTGTGCTGAAAAATTTTCTCCTGACATGTTTTTATACCATTTTCCATCAGTTTATGGACAGTTTTTGAGTAAGGATTTCACATCTGCCTGTTGTGGTTTAAAGGGTGAAGAAAGGATAGATCTGTGGTGGAAAAACAATTAGGAGAAAGTTTGCTCACAGCTTTAAAAGCATCACTTTTAAAGCTTCTTAGTTTATAACAAGTGTGTTGATTTCACCATTTATACATGAGGTAATTTAAAGTGTTTTGCAGACAAATGACTCATGTGAGTTGGAGAGATTATCAAGTAATTTCTGAACTATTGCAGAACAGTACCAGACAGTCCCATGCATTTTTGCCAGCCTGTTAACCCATATGCTACTAATACTATCACAGAAGTTTTAAGTATATATCTCTTAAAACCCAGTGTTTAGATGCAGTAACAATTTCTGAAAGTTTTCCTTTTGCCAAAGAGTTCAGTTAACTTCCAATATAAAAACAAAAGATCAGCTTAAAGAGGTAATTAAATCCAGGTTTGTGTAATAAACAGAGTTGTGGTCATAATTGACCTTAGTTTAGTGAAACATTTTCCAGAGAGGTTTTATTTTTCTAACATTACAGATTATGAATCCCATTCACCCTGCAATGTCATGGTGGTCATGCTGCTCTAGTTTCTCCATGCAGAGCTCTGAGATGAAGATGATATAAAAGTCACACTATCTTTACCGTAGGGGCAGTTCATGCAGTCTGCGTCCCAGGAAAGATTCTAGGTCACAACTGCTGCGTTGACCTTAGATGATAAGTGTTTAACGTGGAGAAAGTTGTATTTATTTATTAACAGTCTGTCATGCTTTGGAGTTTGTGTTTGTTTGGTGTTCTGATAGCTTTCCTTTATCCTGCAAAGCATTTATGAGATATCGCTAAATTATTTAAATAGAAACACACACCTGGACTTGTGTTGGGTTTGAAGTGATTTTATTCAGATCATATTCATTTTAGCAATTAGCAAGCAATTGACATTCATCCATTTCCTTATTTTTGAAAATGACTATAGTGATATTATGTCCTCACAAAATTAATGTAAGTTTTAAATTGTAGTGTACAATTACACGACAGCTTTGCAGGTACAAGTCTTTCCTCACGGTAGGCCAAGAACATCAAGGGATGTCATAAGGTGTGTGAGATGAGATGTTGAAAATAAATCTCTTTGATCCCTGAGGATTATAAGATGTAATTTCTGTAAACTGGGGTTGCTTCCCACAGATGTGCTGTCCAAATCAGAACCTATCAGACTGGTGTCTACACAGTTTGAAGGCCAAATAAATTGTGGAGTTGCAATTTTTCCCCCTTGAAGTTTATGGATTTATGTCCATCCAGTCCTGCTGAAGAATGGACTGCTCATGGAGCGGTGGGTTATTGTTCTGTGAGATTTGAAATGAAAAAGTACCCTACCTGTGAATGTGATTAAGTAACTTGTCGTGAAAACAGAGAAGATTCCAACATAATATAAAAATAATGGATGGAAAAAAGGGGGCATGCTAAAGTATTAGCAACTCCAAAATGTTTTCCATGTTCTATAGAGGTCTGTTTGTCCATCTGTTCATAAAGCCATCCATCATTCTTATTGTCTGAAATTAAATCAGACAAAAAAAAAACTTTTGGTTTTGTTTTTATTACAGTTGGAATTCATAAATTATTCCTGTTTGCTAAATGTAAGAAGAATGAGTTTTTTCTGTTTTTATTTTTCACTTCAAAGTCAGAAGTTTACATTTACAAAAGGCCCAGATGATGAATTCATGTCATTTTAAAATTCTGATATGTTAATTTTGTAATATTTGAGATCACTAACACACTCCTTCCTCATGATATGTTGGAAAAATTTAAAGAATCACCCAAGACATCAGGAAGAGAATTATAAACTTCAAGTCATCCTTTAGCCATCCTTCACTGATCATAAAAGATTCACTTTCAGATTCAGCTCCACCTTCTTGACCAAATATCCTTTTTGCAGAGATGAGCCAGGTTTGCAACTGCAAACTTTTAATGCTAATGCTAATACAGCTATGTTACAACATGTTTTATTAGTATGTGCTGACACTTTATTGGCAGTTCATCACAGCCATTTATCAGTGTATCAAATATAACCGCCTGAAAGAAATGATCCAAGAATGCTACGTTTCTCATTGGATGTGTTTTCCTCTTTTGTTCCATCAGAACGCAGTTTCCATGTACTGTCGCCTTGGGTTTGCAGTAAAGAAAGGTCAGGTGTTCAGCTCTGAGCAGCTTCACCCCAGCTGGAAGAATGCTCCGTCTGTTAACAGGCTCAAGTAAGCGATTTCTATACTTTCTGAGCACTTTATGGTTTAAGAAAATCCAAGCAATGCGCTGTCAAAATGTCATGCTGTTGTGCTGTAGGAGCACCATGGACCCCCAGAAGATGCTGCTGTCCTGGGAACAGGGCAGTCCCGTCATGGAGGGCGGCTCCTCGGCCACAGACACAGACACCACAAGCCTGGAAGATCAAGGTCTCCCACTCGTGCGCGCCCCCCCCCACACACACACACACACACACACACACACACACACACACACACACACACACACACACACACACACACCCGGACATATTCTGCATCGTATGCAAATAATTACACTTGCTGACATGTGCACATGGGACATTTTATGATGGCTGCTTCTGGTCTTCCAGGCTGCACCATTAATTAATCCCCAAGAAAGTTCAGCAACGCTGCTAAAAGTAATTTCCACACTAATAGGTGTTTGTCTAAATTGGTCTCATTTTGGTCTAATTTCAACGTTGTGCACATTAAGCTGGCAGAGTTTCTTGCAAATTGGATATTATCAAAGGAGCTGTTGCTCAACAACATTTAACATGCTAATAAGCTTAAATTAATCTTTCTGAGAGGGAGGAATGCTCTAAATACATTATTTTTACAAAATCAGATGTTAATTTCTACAATTAGGAAGAGTAATTGACAGCTAATTGGCTTGTTGTAACATGCGTTAATAGTACTGCTCAGCAGTAATACAGTTTCTCCTGCCTTATTAATTATTTTTCTCTCTCAGGAGACACGGGCAGCGTTAGCAGCCTGAGCATCCCGGCAGCTCCCACGAAGAGGATCGCCTTCCTCTTTGACTCCACGCTCACCGCATTCCTCATGATGGGCAACCTGTCTCCGGTTTGTGTAGAAATAAAACACACAATTTTATTTTTTTACCAGAAAATTACCAGAAATGTGTCTGAACATAGATCTGCATATTTGTGCTGTTGACCTATCAGAACCTGAAGAGCCACGCTGTGACCATGTTTGAGGTGGGGAAGCTGTCCGACGAGACTCTTGATAGTTTCTTGGCTGAGTTGGAGAAGGCGAGTTCAAATATGTATTTTTTAGATTACATTACATGTAAATTTACATTAAACGTTTTTCAAATGTTCTGATTTCTCTTTAGAAACCAAAAGGAATCTTTTTTTTTTCTAATGCTTGTTTTTTTGTATTTTTTCACTCAGGTGGAGAGTACAGCAGAGGGTGAGGCTCAGCGTTATTTTGACCACGCTCTCACTCTTAAAAACACCATCCTCTTTCTGCGCTACAACAAAGAACTCACTCAGGATCAAGGACCTGATATTCCAAATATAGGTATTTATTCTGTCATGTCTTTATTTATCTCATCTCTTGTATCTTAAAGATCGACAGCATGCAAAAGTATTCATACCCCTTTTACAACCAGAGACGTCTGAACTTTGAGTAACACGTTATTTGATGGGATGTGCATAAGACTGACAGGACACTGTCATAAACATGACATAACATCTGTCATGACATGAAGAAGTCCTTATGAATGTTTATGACTGTTGTCATGAAGTGTCATTTAATAAATAATGACACTTATAATGCAAAGTTGCTCTAAAAGTTGCATTGAAAACACATTAATGGTGCCAACTTTGCATTAAAATGTCATAATTTACAAAATAATGCAAAGTTTACACTTTTAACACACTTTCAAAGCAGCCTTTGAAGCATCTTTGCATTAAAAGTGTCATTATTTACTGAATATCTATGACAAAAGTCAGATATGAGCAGGTACTGAACAGAATTTTATGAAAGTATTGAATATTTGAATCTTATTTAGCAAACATTAAATGTATGTACTGTGGATGGTCTTTTCTAATTTGCTGCTCCAGTTCTAGTCTGGATTACCTATCATGACGGCCATCTTTATCTGAGCAGCGAAGCAAATACAAGCGAACATTTTCTCCTAGTTTTCGGTTTTCACGGTCCCGCCGTAGGTAATTTTCTGCCAGTGACATAATTTATTATCAATTCCTGGCAACATTTTGCAATGATTAGTAAAAAAGGAGATGTTAAAACTTGCACTTGGGAACAGTGAAGCAGAAATCCAAAGGGAATATGTGCTTATCAGAGTCGTCTGATACAAAGTTAAAACAATGTGAATGTTGCAGAATTTTTCTAAGTTGACTTAGAAATAGAGTACGAAAAAGAAGAAGAAAAAGGTGCCATAATAATCTTTGTTTTACCACAAATATCTGTTTATTCTTTAAATATAAGTTTGTTAAAGTGATTAAGGAGTTTTACTTTTTTAACGCATTTTCTCTTCTTTCATTTTAGCTAATTTTTGAATGTAATTAGCTCAAATGGACATATAATTAAAATAAGAGTCTTTATAGTTTGTTGCCTTCAAAACAAATGTAGTTGCCTTTTGTGTAAAGTTTTGTAGATGTTTATTTGTTTTTCCCGTTTACTTGTTGATTCTAATTTATTTTTGTTTGTAATAATTTAATGGTTATTTTTGAGGGAACCTCATGCTACATTTAGAGAATAATTTAAATAAACTATTCTTATCATCTCTGTTAATACTAATTTACGTTTAGCTGTCTTTACAACACTTGTTTTGAGCAGCTGTTGGTAAATGAGTGTTTTGTCCACTAATGTCCAATTGTCTTAAAATCAATAAGTAATTAAAACCTCATCTGGTAGCTTCAAAGAAGAAGCGGATCCTGTTTCTATCCAGACATTGGCAGACCACGTCTCCGATCCACCCAACACTGCCTTTAACGATTATTTCTTCGTAGTTAAATATTCCCATGTAAGCGACTGAATTTAGAGTCGTGTTGTTTGTCTGCTGTCTCAAAGTGGAGCTGCGCAGTTTGTCCTTCTGTCTCTGCAAAGTAAACGTCTGGGTTCTGCGTAGCAACCATTGTGACACCAGATGCGTTTTGTTTGATTTGGCTTCTCGCTTGATTGTCTTACCGTATTGTCGTCCTTTGGCAGGTGGACCTGTTGAGGTCCACTTGCTTGTTACAAGTGTTTTATGTTAACTATTCATTTAGGGAACAAATTGGTCTAAGTGATTAAGAAGTGTTAATTTGGAGAAGATGCTTTCTTCAACCACCTAAGATGTAATTTAAGAGAACAGTGTTGGTATCACCTTCTTGGTGCTATTTCAGCACCGTATGTTTTTATAAAGTAATCTCTTCTTTGTGACCTTATTTGATTAAAAATACTTAGCTGTCATATAATCAATAAGGGAACTTTTAATCTTTTCATTTACTATTGTTAGGTGTCGGACCTTTTATCACAACAATAAAGATAAAGATTAAATATCATGCTTCTCTTGAAAAACATTCCTACATGAAATAAGCATCTTCAACACCCCAGAAATGGGATTTACATCACAATGCTGCACAAAGTAACTGCATTTAATCAGATTTTATAATTTACAGCTATTTATTGGTGCTCTCGTGGAATGAACATTAGAGAAAATAGTAACAATAACATTTCTAATAATGCTGTCAGTTTAGTGTTTTGGTGTAGTGGTTTAAATGATTTAACGTAAAGTTCTTGTCGACTGGTACGTGTCTCCCTCCTGTGGTGGCTCTGCCTGCAGCTAAAAGGTGCACTTATAAATCTCTGTTTGCTTTGGGTCTGATTACGGTATTCAGTCGTTAGGACATTGTGGATTGTTTTTCTGTGAAATACAGGTTCCAGCTGGACAGAAGTGTGGTTAGCTCTATATTGTGACTGTTGGATGGTAACTGGCAGACCAAAGGAGGATGAGTTTTCAATGCTACAGTTTGAAGTATAAAATTTATTTCTCATGCTTTCAAAGAGAAGCGCTTTTGTCAGATTTAGCAAAGTTGGAGGGAAAAGCTTTAGCAGTTGCTTCTAGGAGCTGCAGTAAACTGTTACATTTATATGAATCCATCCAGTCTTAACACTTGTTTTTGATTCTAGTCCCATTTTCTAAAGAAATGCTGACTTCCCTCCCCTCCACCCTCCAATGTCTCCAGGTTTTCCTTTGGACATGCTGCGCTGTGAGAGCCTGCTGGGTCTGGACCAGGCCACCTGCAGCCGCGTCCTCAACAAAAACTACAAGCTGCTGGTCTCAATGGCGCCGCTCAGCAACGAGATCAGACCCATCAGCAGCTGCACACCTCAGGTATGAAGCCTGGAGGGAACAGAAGGGACATTGTGTTGTTTCTGTGTAGAAAGAAAATGAAGGAGAATTTTTGTTTGCATGTTATGTGACAGATAATGTGTTGGAGGTGAAACGGGGAGGGAGGGAGTTTTGTTTTGTTTGACATCTTGCCTGGTGTACACATTTGAGTTTCCAGAGTTATCTATAAATGTGTGTGTGTACACTCAGCCTACAGTTGCCCCAACAACAAGGCTGCACAAAGAGAAGAGGAAGGCGGGAGGCGAGGCTCATGAGTAATTCCTCTGCCTGGCTCTCCTCCAGCTTTCTAGCTGAGCCCAGCGAGACAGAGGAAGACAAGTTAAACTCTTGTTGTGCCATTCATGCTGTTGCTTATTCTCACACCGCTGCGACTCGCTCAAGTGAAATATGAAAAATTCTCCTTGTTTCCTCTCAAATCTTTTTGTTATTTCAATGCATGAATTTATGCCACTAATAATAACCAGTCAGTCGGTTTTTTGATGCTTTGACTTTTTTCTTCCTCCTCTTCATTTGATTATTTACATGTGTATTTCTTTCTTCCTGCAGCACATTGGCCCAGCCATCCCTGAGGTGAGCTCCATCTGGTTCAAGCTGTATCTGTACCACGTGACGGGCCAAGGCCCGCCGTCGCTGCTGCTCTCCAAGGGCTCCAGGCTCAGAAAACTGCCAGACATTTTCCAGGTGAGCCCAGGTTAATGGTTGTTCACATAACAGGAGTTAAAATGGTAGCAAGAAGGTAAAAGGGACAGAGAGTAAAAGTCTCACTTTAAGGTAAACAGTAGCTGCTCTCAGGTGTACGGTTAAAGTTTTGACCTTACTTTCAATCACAGGAAGGTAATTGGATCATTTGCTGCCTCCTATGTCCTCGCCAACCTTCATTTCTTAATAAAGCAGCAAGTCCTTTTTGATAATGCGTCACGGTGAACTAATATATGTCCTCCAGTTAGGCTGGAAATTTGATCTTGGGAATGTGTGAGAATAGCGCAAGAGAGAAAATAGTACCATAAATCCTCTGCAGAATACCTGTGATATGCAAATGAGCCTGCTCTTGTGAAAAACAACTGGACTATTTACTACAGGAGTTAACATCAAAACACTTGTTTATTCCTTGACTTTAGCCATTCAAGAAAATACATTTAAGGCAATTGTTGGTACAGTCACTGTGTGATGTCTCATTAAAGTTAATACAATCAATGCTGGAAAACACCCTACGTTTCATCAGTATTTCATAGTCTATATTAGTATTGTGAATTTGTCCTTCATAACTCGGCAATGACGTTCCAGATAACGGAGTCTCTACTGCACTCATGGCTGGAGTTTCTGCAAGACTCCTTTAATATTCTGCTCCAATTCTGAGCTACCTGTTTTGATACTAAAGAGACATCTGACTTGACACAATAAGTCCTCTCACAATGTTTTTGTGCAGAGTATCTACCCAAACTGCTAATGCTAGCATCTGTTCCCTGTTTTGATATGACGCATTGCATATTTGTATTTTCATTGTTAAATATATTTTACTGGGGTTGCATTTGCATGTATTCAGAGAAAATCTGCAGAAAAATTTACTACCAAAAACACCCAGGTTTGTTTATAATGTCCTGAAATTTGGCAGTGATGTTTCAGCTGCTCTCTGTTGTGACAAATAAGTTGCATCACACAGACTGAAAGCCTTAGCAGCCAATTCAGTCTCTTTTTTTTATGGCATTGTAAAGGATGGAAAACAGTGATTTTATGTAAAATATTTAGCTTTATATTTAGATAAATTAGGGTCTGGTAACGTTTAGGTTATTTATTTATTAAACCCTTGAATGGAAAGAGGATTACTTTTGTTTTACGATGAGTTCATAAAATTGAATTTAGTATTATTTAGTATAGATACTCTAAATAGTCGTTGACAGTTGTAGAAGATTCTTTTGTTTATTAATTTTTCTCTCTTTAGGCCTATGACAGGCTGCTGATCACCTCTTGGGGTCATGACCCCGGAGTCGTCCCTACGTCCAATGTTTTGACGATGCTGAATGACGCTCTCACGCACTCTGCTGTCCTAATCCAGGTGAATTCGGTTCAGTTTTACTGTATTTTCAAAAGCCGTGATTGGACATTAGGGTTACAGTCATGAGGAACTGTAACCCTAATGTCCCTGACCTAATTTCTTCATGTTTTGTTTCCATAGAAATAATAAGAAATATTTCCCTTCTATGAGGAAGTTTGGCTCCTTGGTTAACAATATGAAGAGAGTTCATAACAATGTTGTTGTTCAATTTTTATTTGGTCAATGTGACAACAAATACAGCACTGCTTATAACTTTGTGCAAAACATAAAAAGGGCCAACTACATGGTTCTGAATATTTACAGTATTTAGTTCCTTGTTCCAATTTGCTTCATTGCAAGACATTTTATGAATTTGACAACCCATTTATTAACTTTTCCCTGCCTTGTAAAATTTCTTATCATTTAAGTCCCAATTGGAAGAGATTTTCTAACCAAGTCATGGTGAGTTTAAAACAAAACTCTGTGTGTGTGTGTGTGTGTGTGTGTGTGTGTGCGTGCGTGCGTGTGCGTGTGCGTGTGTGTGTGTGTGTGTGTTCTTCAGGGTCACGGTATGCATGGCCATGGAGAAACCTTTCATATCCCATTTCCTTTTGACGAGGAGGATCTGAAGGGAGGTGAGAGAGTTTCTGCATGAGGTTGTGAAGTCTTTTAAATACATGGCTTAATTTTGGTTGAACAAATTACACCTTTTTAAAAAGGATAGCTATCTATACTATCTGAAAATAGTTTTTAGTGTTACAATGAGGTTAAAATACCTTGAAAATATCCTCTGAGATCAGAAAGTATCACACTTTTAGGGTTCTGTATGAAGACGATAATGAACTATATATTTTCAAACGGTTTATTAATTTTTTTATTACTTGAGCTAACTTAAAACTTGAGCTAACTTAAAATTGGAGCTCAAACACTTTGCTCCAGTACTTTAACCATTTAAAATCATAAATGTGTTACGTCATCCACTAGAAAGCAGAAATTGATGTTGGAGGTGCAGAAACCTCCCATGATTCTAATCCTGTGTGAAAATGGCTTAAATGGATTGATTAGTTTTCTAACAAGAGAATTAACATGCGTCTAGTTTCACTGACAGGAAGTTCCACACATTCTTATTATATATCTACTGCAACCTTTTTTTTTTTTTTGTGACAATTTGATGCTGTTTAATATCAAAAGAGAAAATACAGTGTGTGTGAAATACTTAAGACTTGGACTTTTAGCCACCTGATGTCTTGACCTCTCTGAAGTCTAGCAGAACACACGATTCATACTTGACGTCTGCTTGCCACGCAGAGTTCTCTTACTCCAACATGTGTGTGCACAAAGCACTTCGGAAGCTGAAGGAGCATGTGGATCTGGAGCACCAGTGTGGCTACATCACCATGCTGAACTCCAACAACAGGCACCGTCGCAGGACCAGTGACAGCGCTGAGTGCAGAGGTAAGACGAGCAAGCACACATACAATGCAACAAATGCGTCTATCTGGCTGTTTAACAGACAAGAATTATTGTGAAATTAGCTGCAATGTCCTTGCTTGTTATAGCCACTGGCACTAATGGTGCAAATTAGATAAATATTCCTCATACTCTAGTTTAATTATGCTGTTTGTCTGCTTAATTGTGTGCTTTTTATGGTGATGGCCTTTGCTAATGGAAGTGAAAGAAACATTCTTAGCCTTTTGGGATTGAATCTCACGCCTGCTTTAAATCACAAAATTTTAATAATTCTCCAGTGTTGGCTCACAAAAATACAGCAAATGATTGTAAAACCTGCCATTGATCTTCATTTGTTGTTTGTGTTCAAGGAGAAACGCATCTAGGCGGAGGCCTGGACACCAACGGCAGCACCGAATCATTTGAGCTTGTGACCGAAGAGAACGCCGAGGGAAAAGGAAAGACAGACAGTAGGTGCATTTTGCTTTTCCTTAAAAATATTTGCAAGTTTTGAGGTTTTTTTGAGAGTTAGAGGACATCTGGAAGAGGTCGGACAGTGTGACAAGTGGTGCTGTCTGAATTCAAAACCGGGTCTTTCTTTTGAGCGTCTCGTGTTGTTTCTTCCTTGCCAATCTCTTTCTCAGCTCTTTCATCTGAGGACGAGTGGGTCCCTCTTGAACTGTGCTTTGGCATGCCCCTCTTCAGCTCCGAACTCAACCGCAGAGTGTGTCGAAAGATTGCCTCACACAAGCTTTGCAGCAACGAGAGGTAAAACCTAAAGTCTCTGTCACATTTGGATGAAGCGTTTGAAAAGAGTTGTGCTTCTAGACTTGAGTCTTGTTATTGTTTTTTCAGCCTTCAGGAGCTTCTTCACTCAAGCCGAAAGCTATCACTGAAAGTACTGAGTTTTGTTCATTCGTTCCAGGTAAGAGCTCTTAGTCACCGTTTCTTCAGTTTGAGCTGAAATGGAAAAGCATTGTCCAGCAGAAATAAACAGCCTGAATTTAAGGACACTTTCTTCCTTTTTATTCTCATAAATTCTTTTTAATTTTCAAGTAAAGTTTCCAACTATTGAAAGACCCCAAAATAATAAGGCGACCATGATAAAAGATAAAAAAAGACAACTAATGGCTGCATTTAAGTTTGTTTTTTAACTGAATGAAACCTTGTGGTTAAAATGTTAAGCAGAACCAGAAGTTTAAAGAAAATTTATTGTGTTTATGTGTATGATTGCACATACTCTGTAAGCTTTCAACCTAGCAACCTAGTTATCTGTAGCGAAAAGTGGCAATTATGAGAATATCAGATGGTGAAATTATTATTTCACCATCTAAACGGTAAATTCTGCTCTATGCTCTTGTTCAGATGCATCAGTTTTGTTTTCCCTTTTTCTTTTAGCCTCATACACTAGATTTTATGCAGCAACACTTCAGTTTATCTGAATTGTAGAGCTGCTGTTGTTAACACAGGGAGCTCTTAAACTTGCAGTTGTCTTTGTAATATCAAAATATACCAATATATTTGACCAATTGGATGCTATAATATGTTTGTAGTGACTGTGATACTAAAGTTTATGCTTTCTCATTGTGTAATACCACCAATAAGAAAGCAGTCAGAAAATTGCTGATTGATAAAATAATTTGAATTTTCAGTAGTAATACAGACTTTGCATAATTACAAAACTTCAGCTGCTTTCTCTTGTGACCATTAATCACATCACACTGACTGAAAGCTGTAGCAGCCAATTGAGTCTCTTCTTTATTTATGAATGACATCGTAAAGGATATTGCAATCAGAAAAAAATAATTCATTGATTGTATGTACATTTTCTGTCTTTGTTGAAAGCTAGGAATTTTGAAACTGTATGTTTAATGAAGGTGATTTACTGCAGAAAACTGTGAAATGGTGTCGATTGCTGACATGTTAAATATAGATCCATTAAACCTTGAACCAGTCTCCATGAGGCACACATCCCTTCTCAGCCGTGAACTTTGCCCTGTATTGTCAGGACGGCGGCCAGCCTTCTGACCCGGACAGCGGCGTGTCGAACCCTCTCAGCCAGCCTCCGGCTGAGTCCGGCGTCCCTCTGCCCTCCATCAACCTCCTCTTCAAGGATGGACAGCTGAAGGAGTGGAGCGGCCGCGCCCCTCCCCCTCTGGACATCTCATCTCTGCAGAAGGACCAGCCCTCATAAAGCAGGTGCGGTTTGTCCACGAGGACATTACTTCTCAGTGAAAATGGACCACCCCTGCTTTTCTTCCCCCTTCTTTTCTTGGCACCGTCACATCTTGCTGAGGACATCTCTTAAAAGTGGTCCAACTTTGCATCTTCATACGTGCTCACAAGGAAACACCGTCGACATTCTTGTGCATCGGGGAACATTAGCCCCCTCAGCTCTTTACTGTTTATCCACTGTAAGAAGAAGCATCCTCCATCAACACTAGTACCCAGCTCCTTTTTGTTGTTTTCCTGCGCGATTCCTTGTATTCCTAAGACGGCAGTGTTAGCCTTTGGAGTGGTGCTACAATCCCAACATAAAACAGTGAAGCAGGCGAACGGCTTTAAACCTGAAAAAGCTAGTTGCTTTGTTTACCCTCATTCCCATCCTCCAGTTAGTTCTGGTTTTGTTTCTTAAGTTGAGTGACCCCGATGAACCCCAGACCTCTTCAGGAACAATTTAAACTATATGCATTATTGTAGGACCAAGCTCTTGGACTTACCAGCTGAGTTTGAATCCAAGCCCTTCTGTGTCTTGTCTCATGTTCATTGATTCAATGCATGATGGTGTTGCACAACTCAAGAACAAAAAAAGAAGAAATTCCTTCCCTTGTTATTTGTGACCAATAATGGGAAAAAGTATGTTAATTGCGCTGTGCAGGATTTGTTTCAAACTGTGGACAAATAAATGTTTTTTTTATTTTTAAACGTAGGATCAGTTGTAGTGCACATTAATGTTTTTAGAGCTCTTGTTTAAGGAAGGAAGTGTTTACTCATCAAAAAGCAAACATGTTAAGAACTCACTGGGCATTTGAGTAACTTCTGCTTCTTATTTGTTCTGTTTTTTTATATATATATAATTGAGAGCACCAAAGACATTTTCTTTTTCTTTTACTTGTAATGATTTTTTTTTTAAATTAATTTTTTGCCTATATTGAAATTAGCCAATCAAAAGAGCTCAGGCCTGGGATCAAAACTGCTCATTTGCTTTGCCTTTTGACCTTTTTTTATGATTTCTGATCTCTGAATACACACAACTACAGTTCATAGCACAGCATAACAAGCATCTTACCGTTCCTGTTTGAGCTGGAATTTGCATGTCACACCGATTCGGAACAGCAAAGGTTACAAGTGCATCTCAATAAATAGAATGGCATCTTAAAGTTCACATATTTTAGTAATTCCGCTTAAAATATGAAACGTTTCTATTCAATGAACCCACACCATATTTTAATTGTTTATTTTTTTGTTAATTTTGACTGATAAGAAGACCTAAACTTAAGATATTACTTAGGACTAACAAGAAATGTTACGTTGAACCGTACACAATCATGGAGATATTTGACGGCCTCCACAAGGAGGGTAAGCAAAAAAAGCTCATCACTAAATAAGCTGGTTGTTCAAAGTGCTGAATTTGAGAGTATTCATGGAAAGTTGAGTGGAACTAAATAGTGTGGTTTTAGCCCTAGCAAAAAGAATACCGTCAGCCTTGAGAGGATTTGGATGTAAGGACATTTATACTTTGCTGAAAACTATGTGGAGATGAACATTTCATTTTTTTTCTCACATGCCAAATAACTGGCTTAATGACCATGATTTAGATGAGTTTTCAGTAAAGTGCATATACTTGCAAACTTGCAACCAAGTTTGCAAGTATATGCAAACTTGGTTGCATACAATATGCAACCAAAACTTGGTTGGTTCCTCTTTTCCATAAATTGCTGCAACATGACTTGGAGGCGATCTGCCCAGGATGCTTTAATAGCAACTTCTTTCAGTCATCATGTATTCAAAGCTCATCAGCAGAGGAAAGAATGAAGTGCATAAAACTTCCTGGAAGACTGCTGAGCTAACTTAAAACTTGATTAAAAAATAAAAGAGTGGCTCAGCAACATTTTTCCATCACACCTTTTCCTTCCACTAAACTTTCCATCAGAATGTTCTCATTATGTAATCATGTGATGTCTGACATGTAATTTCTCTTCTGATTTTCTGAAAAGCAAAGCTCTAAGCTGTAATCAACACGATAACTGAACTAGATGTCTGACATAAATGTAATGAGTCTTTATAACACGACTTTTACTTTTTGTATTGAGTCAATCGATGAAGTTGTTGATGATATTGTAATTTATTGAGATTCATCTGTAAGTCTGATGATTTCCTACCACTACATCTCCCTCTCTCTTGATGAACTCCAGCTTGTGTGTGATTGTGTGCTCTTCCCTTTTTGCACTCTGAACGATTCTGTTCACACCATCTCCAAATGGGGAGGAAAGAAATGGGGCTTGTAGTTTTGAGAGAAGGAAACGTGTTTTTGTTTTGTTTTGTTGTTCAGAAATGGAAATGCTTGTGCATTGCCCCAGCTTCCCTGAGACGTCGTTTGGCTCAGGATGTGTCGGACATTCCTCTTCATTAATCCTTAGTGCAGTTTCTTTTTCCTCCCTGCATTTAGAAATGTGTAAAACTCATTAAGCTGAGTTTATTTTTGAAGGAATTTCCCCTTTGCAGTTTTTGACCCACTTGTGGAAGTTAGAAATAGGAAAAAAAAAAAAACAGACTTACGACGTGGTCCTGCTAAAGCATGATAGCTGTGTAGAAACTGTTGTGTGTATGTTGTGTATGCGTGTGTAATGTACACATCACCTCACATCTTTACAAAAAAATGACCCTTTACACACACCCCTACACACACTCACACACACACACACACACTTATCATGGCTGTTTGTTGCAGTTTATCATTTTCACCCCCAGTTATTCATCTACCTTAGGTGTTTAAAATGATAGTTTTATATGTGGGCTGAAAAAAAAATCTTTGTTGTAGCTTGTTTATTGGGAGTGTGAATATAATTGACTTAAAAAGAAGACACCCTTTTGAATAAATGGGTTTAAAAAAGAGGGAAATTACATTCCTTTACTACATTCTACCGTCACCCTCTTCTTCATATACATATGATAAGAAATAAATATGTAAAAAGTATGTGAGAATATAAATAAATATGTAATAAGACCAAGTTTTTTCTCCATGACGGTGTGTTGGGTCGTTCCTTTTCCCTGATAGCCGGTCACATTGCGTTATTTCAGGCTGTTTTCTCATCGCGGTGGAACAGATGGTCCTCGAGCCGCAGCGGTCCGGATGCTCCATCCATCTGCCTTAAGCATACACTATCCTTCTCGGGCTTTTTGGAGAAAAACTGGCTGAACACTGATAGTAATTATCTTCAGTTGTTTTCTTTTGCACCACTTTTCAGGAGAGGTAACCTCGATGCAGACTGACTTTTAGTTCTTTTTTTTCAATCAAGATTTTAGAGAAACTTGTTTTTAATAAGTGACATGTTCTGACTAGAAGAAATGTATATATATATTTAAAAATCTATCTAGTTTCATATCCAATCATAGCACAGAGAAAGTATTACTTGTTAATCACTTCAGCTTTAATTTTAATCTTAAAGGTTATAAGTCCAGCATTTGGCACTGAACTTAAGTGGTTCAGATTGAATGTGACATTTTCTGTAAGCATGAAAAACTCAGCAATTAAACATTATAAAGTGATATGCAGAATTTCTATTGATTCTAAGATTTTATTTTACGCCCTACACATTTTAACTTAGAAATCCTGGGATCATTGAAAGCTGTGCTCCAGCTTTACATTATCATGTAGTTTTGACTTTTTAACTCAAACATATTGTGAATCTAAGATCAGTCAGGACCAAACTTTAGTTAATAGTGGTAATAACCTTCTGAGAAATAAAATATATGGGAGTTATATTTAATTGTACTTTGTATTTTAAATTAAAAATGTTACCAAGAATATTCATTGTCACTTAAAGTACACTGACAGTTTTATTGAAATTCCTTCAATAAAAGGTTCATTTTCTTACAGTTTAGGTAACTCAAATGCTCCCTTTCTCTGGTCTTCTGAGAAATTTCATAGCCTTTCCACAGGCATAAAAAAACAGGCAATTTTTTAGTTTAATTTGATTAATACGTATATTTTTAATTATCGACTAATTGCTGTGATTCACTAATTTCTTTAGATACCAGTTGTTTGACTTAAATGCTGATTTTTATTTAGTTGGGATCAATATTTAACTTAATTCACATGATGATTTTATGCATCCATATATTTAGATATAGTTTGATTATTCATTTTAATATTTTAGATGTTGGCTTTAACAAGATTAAAAAAAACAAAACATGCTTCTTAGGATTTCTGTCTCCATCTAGAACTGTTATAGTGTTTATAAACAGTGCAATAGAAGCATGGAAGAATACTGAAAAACTACAAAATCACACCTTATTTTTTTAAAATAAATAAATAAAACCAGGTGTGTATCTCGATTGCTGTGCCCCTCACTGAACAGGTGCAGCCCAGTCTAATTGGCTGCATCTCCCAGGTCTTCCCCGCTTCACTAATTTCCCAGCTCCACAAATTAGAGTGATACCACAGGAGGCAGTCCGGGAGGGTAAAGTGGGTCACGCCACCTGAGGATATGGCGCTCGGAGAAGCGGTCAAATGCGCTGCACGTCACCGCTCTCGAGGTTTGTTTCCTGACACTTTTTCAGCCAATGTGAGCCCCGGTCAGCTCTGCAAAGACACAACCAGCTGAATTTATTCAGGAGATTTGTTATTTTTGACTCCTATCGTCAGACAGAGATGTCCCATGATTTCGTGCTGAAGCAAAAGGAAAGGCAGTGAAGAAATGAAAGAAAAACAGAAGAAAATCACACAGTGCGTTTTAAAAAATAAGAAATGGAGTCAAGGCTCACACAAAGAGCGAATGGTGAAATTATGCTGGCTCTTGCACAGTGAATACAGCTGCTTTGTCATTCTTACATCAGTGTAAAAGAAAGCAGAAGTGGAGGATCTTCTCTTGAATCATGTTGCATCAGTACCAGTTCACGATGCAGCACATAACCTCTCTCAGTGCTGACTTTTAGGGCCTACTGTTGTTGTTTTTTAACTTTAAAGCTAGGAAAATGTATTTTAAGTTGAATGATGCTTGTTTGCCAAATGGTGAGCTGTGCCAAGACTTAAAAAAACTGATGTTCATGGATAATCTCCAATCTGAATGGGGTTTTAAGCCAACTTGCAAGAGAAAAACTGCAAAAATGCTTCTCTCTATAAGTGATTCAAAGAGTCCTGGCACAACTTCACTGACTTCAATGGAGAAAGCACAAAGATCTGTTGATATGAAGAAGCAACAACAGAAATACTAGGAAGCAACATTATTAGCAGATCATCGCATTTCAGGTCGTAGCCTTCAGTGTCAGTCTACAAATGCAGATCTGGTGAAAACATACTGTGCTCTGAAAGGTGTAGCTGGAATTGCAGTAAAAAAATACTTCAACAACAGGCTCAAAGGGATTGAACACAAATGCACACCACACCTTCCAGAAGTTTTTAAACTATGTATTCCGGATGTTGTGCTCTACGCTTCAATTTCACAGAATTCAAATAAAATGTACTAAGGTTATACAGAATGAGCAAATGTGACGAAGTTGAAAAGTTATTTTGCAGGGTATTGAACGAAAGAGCTCATCTGATTGTCTTAAGAAGTTGCTTAGAGGCCATCTTGCTCATCTGATGAGTTTGAGTGCTAGTGGAGGCCTCTCTGCACTTTTGGGCCGAACAGATAACTCCACTGGGTAACCTTGACTTGTGGATAACCCCTCTGATGCTCGTCGAGCTCTGGGGTCATAAACTCTGCCACAGCCTCTTTGAGTTCATGAACATTTGTTTTCCTTACACTTCCTTTCTCTACGTCTCCCTCAACACCATTCTCCAGCACAGATGTCGTCACAGCTTCTTGGAAGGTGCAGTTGTGTCATTGTGCAACATACCGAGCAGACATTTTTCCTTCACCACCTGTGGGATATAATCTGAGGGTAAAATAGCTCATGAATGAGAAGAACAGGCAGGCCATGAGGCACTACAAACCTAATGGAGACATTATGGACTCAGTGGGAGACTGTGAGGGAGGAAACGACTGCAGCTTCGGTCGCTACACAGACAGCATCCAAATTGCAAGAATATATATTTTTTATGGAGACATTTTCATCGCAGAATGGCTAAATAACATCATTAAAAGACATCTAAAACGAACAATAAATTAAACTAACTAAAGTGGATGCATGTAAACTCAGCTGGACTGTGGCATTACTCAACCCAAGGTCAGCAGGGGGCCATAAAAAGCGCTTGAGTGTGACACAGAATAGATGCTATCTGTGCAGGGCGCAACCTGCCTCCCATCCAGAATCCCGGCTCCGCTTTATTCTGGCAACAAGAAGCAGTTACAGACATTAGATGGATGAATTTCTGAAGCAACCAGGTAAACTCTTCTACTATGACAGGCTGGAAAACTGTGGTTGGCTGTTGGGTTTAGGTATGATCTGTCCAAATCGCGATTCCAGCTTCAACTCCACTGCTCATTTTGTTGGCCAAACCTTTTTGTCAACGACTGTTTCTGTTTTGAGGACAAGACAAAAATGACAAAAACAAATAACGAAAAATACTAATACAGAATGACTAGTAAATAAAAATATTAAGATTTTTTTTGTGAAAAACTGCTAATTCCATTTGTGTGAAAAACAATCTGGTGGGACTTGTTACAAGTATGTGTCTGTATTGTTTTGTTCTAACACAAAACTAAATGTAGCATCGCCTTTTTACATAGTTACTGATAGTGGATCAGGGTGTTCTCATAACTTTTTGACATCATTTAAGGAAAATCGGTTGAATTATCAAAGATTTGTGGGGGAGTGTTTCATTTCAGCTGAAGTAAATGAAACAAACACCGCCTTTAAGAAAGCTGTGTCCACATTATCTGCTCTTATGTTACATTAATAACTATTTCCTTTGCTTTGAAAACAAATATATTTATACCACATGCAAAGTGTGCAATCTGGTTACATTTGTTGCAACGCAACCCTGCAAAAAAACCCCAAAGTCATTCTTGTGGTGTGCAATAAACTCCCCTAGATAAATAGCACACGATATAAAGCAAACATAACAAAAACATAGAAAGCCACAATCAAACGTGCGACTGTTTCTTTTATATCTGACGGTGTATTGAAACTACAGCAACCGCCTGTTCAGACAGCAGCAGCTGTGTAAAGACCTGAGGGGGAAATTTACGCGCACTTCCGCTTTAAAGGCGAAGCAGCGTCCTGCACGAGAGAATCGCTGTTCACACACCGAGCCGTCATCAGATCAGATCCGCCTTCAGTCCCGACGCCAGGCGGCTGGATCTGCCGCTCCTCGCGCGCCGCTGGAGGAAAACACGCAGTCTGTGCTTCTTTTTGGAGGGATTTTCTTTTAACATTTTCACAGGAACTTTACGCAGGAAAACCACCGGGTTACACCTGCGTGCGTGCTCTGGTGGCTGACTCTAAACCCACTTTGTATTCTCTCCTAGACCCCACTTGTTGACGGGGCGCCGAGAGGCTCTCCCTCGATTCTTATGCGTAATCTGGATCTAACTGTGTCAGACCGGGGAAGTTTCGAGCAGCGCGGTTTCCTGACAGACGGCTACGATGGGAGGTGATCGGTAACAGCCCTCGGCGTCGGATTACACAGTCAGGCTGCTGCCAGGTAAAGCAGCAGGATGGGAAACCAGATGGACAGGCTGTCACATCTAAGTTACGCAGAAGTTCCCACGGTGGACCCGAATGGCGTGGACACGGACGACGGTCCGCGGATCGGAGTGTCTTACATCTTCTCAAGCGACGACGACGAGCTGGAGGACGGATGCGCGGTGGACGGCGGACAAAAACGCGCAAACGAGGAAGAGAAAAACTACGATCCGCGCGACGAGGTGGAGTGCGCTGTCTACAACAGAGAGGAGTGCATCTACGAGAAGAGCGCCAAGTGCGCAAACCTGGAGGTCTACTCCCCGGAGAACCTACTCAACAAGTGCAAGGCGGGGGACCTGGTGGAGTTCGTGGCCACGGGTCAGTACCCGCACTGGGCCGTGTACGTCGGGGACTTCCAGGTGGTGCACCTGCACAGAGCCGAGGTGAAAAACAGCTTTCTGACCGACGCCGGCCAAGGGAGGAGGTGCCGGATCGTGAACGACTGGTACAAACTGAAACCCCTGTGCGCAGAAGTGGTGGTGCAGAACGCGATGGAGCAGGTGGGGCTGAAGGACCGGGAGTTGAGCTGGAGGAACTCGGAGAGCTTCGCCGGCTGGTGCAGGTTCGGCAAGCGAGAGTTCAAGATGGGCGGGGAGATCCGGATCGGCAAGCAGCCCTACAGTCTGAAGGTGTTCGTGTCGGACAAACAATCCCACGTGTTGGAGTTTCAGAGCTTGGAGGACGTGATCATGGAGAAGCGGAGGAACGACCACCTGGGCAGGACAGCCGTGCTGCGGGAGCTGGCGGCGCATTTCAGAGGCGTGGAGGAGATGAAAAGTGAGATGGGAGCGGAATGATGTCAGTTCCCCAACATATCTGTTACACCGATCTCCTGAATCCGTAGCAATCCTCATTAATGTTTCAGGTCTTTGCAAAAACAAAAACAACATTTCACACCCCTGAAGTTTTACACACTGTGTCACATTGCAGCCAAAAACTTCTGTTGTATAGGCCAGCTCAAAGGAGCACGTAATTGTGAAGTAGAAGGAAAATCATACATAATTTTAAACCAAAAGTGTGAGAAATTAAAGGCTTATTCATTTAGCCTCGCAAGGTCCCTGATATAGAATTAAAAAATTAGTCCAGAAATTAACCTTTTGACTTGGATGCAAAAGGGTTCATCTCACCTCACCACTGTCAAACATGGTAGTGGCAGCTTCATGCTGTGGGCCTGTTTAGATCTAGCAGGGAGAAGGATTTGGTCATGGTTAATGAGGAGCTGACATTGCAGGACATTCAAAGCACAGAGATGTTTTAGAATGGCCCAGTCAAAGTCAAGAGCTAAAGCTAAGAACAGTTAGCAGAGACGTAACCAAGATTTTGCAGCAAAGCATTTATGCAAAGGGTTGAATCACTTTCTGAAAAAAAAAAGGAATACTATCCTTCACTTTCCACTTCACAGTTATGGACATCTTTGTGTTGGTCTATTTTAAAATAATAACCAAGCAAATTGAAGTCAGTGGTTGTAAAGTCTCTACATTTGAAAACATTTAAGGGGTATACATTTGTTTGCAAGGCCCTGTAGGAATAACTTCAGCATTTAATTGATACGTGGACATAGTTTTGGTCCGTGTTTTTGAAAGTTTATAATTTAAATGCCTTAAAGTCTCAATCATAATTTCACAACTCAAACAAAAATGACTGAATCAGCTGTTTATTTTTGCTACAAAATGCTCTCCACTCATAGAATGTAGTTTTATAAATTCATCCCAAAGTGTCTGGAAGCAGGATGAACACATTCCTTCTATTTATAGATCGTCTCATTACTTGATCCAGTTGAGATTTAATTTCATGTCTCAGCTCTCTCAGGCTGCTGTGGATTTTGTTTTTCAGCTTTTTTGGGTGGGTCGAACCCAGTGGCACACGTGGAGGAAGTGTTGTGGATCATTGTCTGTTAGACTGATCAAACTCTGTGTTAACTGTTCCCAAAGTTTGAGTAAATCATGAGTCACTGTCTCACCTGGAAGTGATTGTTATTATTTCTGCCGTGAAAGCTGATCAATACGAAGATAAAATCATTTAATGCTCGGCGACCATATTAGATTTAGCGACAGATTAATCTCTTGGATGTGCAGCGAACAAATCTGAAGCAACTCTGTGATGCTTCTATGTCTAATGGAACAACATTTATCTGGTACCATGAAAGTAGTTCTGAAGAGTACTAACGTCGACCCAATAAAGAGGCCAGCGACAATATATTTTGATTTAGAATATTCAGCACACACTGTAATAATTATTTGTCTAAATCTTGTGACACAGCAAAAATGAGCAAATGGTCCATAAATAGGAGTGCATCGATTGCGGTTTTTTTGGCCAATCACAGATTTCCGATTTTTAAAAAACCTGATCTGCCGATTCAGATTTTGGCCGATACCAATTTTGTTTGGTATGAGTCAGGCAAACCTCTTTAAAGGCAGTACAGAAGAGGAGAGGTTGATTTTTAGACATTGGCAGAGGTCGATAAGATCGTTTTCATTCAAGTGTTGGCCGATCACCGATCTCTCAAAATTAAGGAAATCAGCATAGATAAATTGGCTGCCCGATAAATCTGTGCACCCCTAGTAATCAATACTATGATGCTTTTCTAACTTTGTCTAGCAGCTCTAGCTGTGCTGTAATTGTAAAGCTAGTTCTTTCATAAAAATGGAACAACAACTGGAAATACATTTTTACTCCTATCTTGCTCTGTATTAATGCTTTCTTAACTGGAAATGCTGTAAGAGCCTCTTCAAATGAAAAAAAATAGCAACCCATCATTTCACAATGATGCTAATGAATTGGCTGGTAAATGTAAAGCAACAGGAGTTAAAATTATTAAGTATCTCCACAAGAGTGTGATATAAAAACATCAAGTCAGAAGGTTATGGTTAGCAAGTTGGCAGTGCTGAAATTTTAGAATTTAATATTTAATTATCTCTGCTTGAAAACTGAGAAAAGTCCTGAATTAAATTTTCTTAAGGGGTAAAAAAGGATTTGTGAAAATGAATAATTCATCACATGAACTTCATAGACCCTTCGTGGAAGTAAGATGTGGCTATGCTTTAATTTTCATTTCTGGATTTTTGGCCAACTTTCACCATGGTATAAACTCTAGGAATAATAACAGCTCAGACTACAGAAATATGCAATACTTATTTAGTCACCTAGGCACAAGAATGGTGGTGCAATTTATAAAGATTTCAACAGCCAACAGCTGGTGAGGGAGCACATGTGCTGAATAAAAGTGAAGCAATACCCGGAACTGCTGCTTGAGGCCCTGCTCTCAGAGTGCAAATGTGGGCCAAAATAGTTGGTTTTGACAAAACAATAAATTGAAAAATGATTGTTTCTTGACAAAACAATAAAAAGTGGGAAAATTCAAAACAAGAACATGCCTTGTTTCAATTCTGTGGTTGGAGGCATTTTCTTTTTTGCTGGGTTGCCGACTCGACTGCTAACCTTTAAGACTAATAATAATTTGAAAATATGCACAGATAGCACTTATATTGCTTATATTGCTGTAATTGTATAGAAGGCCATATTACAGCAATTTTCTCACTATAATTGTGGTAAAACCTTTGGATCACAAACAATTACTAATTATTGTTCTGTGTTGCACATGTTAATTTATGCTTCTATTCCTGCGAGAATTGCTCCGGGGCAGTTATTGATTTGCGGCTCACGTAGGCTGAAATGAAATGAGAAATAACCTCAAACACTTCCAATTCGCCCACAGAGATTAAAACTTTGTTGAGCCAGAACAGCTTGTTGTTTGGCGAGGATATGTGAACGTCGCAAGACTGCAAACATCTTTAACGCGACGCAGAATGATTGTCTAATTTATGAAGAGTCAGAAAAAAAGCTTCATGATTGTCATTGTTTGGGCTATGATTTGCAACAACTTCCATTAATGTAATTGGAAAATAAATGTTAAAGTGTGTCAAATGTGAAAATCCTTTCATAATCAGCTCTGGGAACAACCGGACGCACATCATCTTGTGTTTATAGAATAAACCGACGACCATCAGCTGCAAACCTTTGCATCCGAAGGTTTGTTTCGGCTGCCCTGCAGCATTTTAATCAAGTTAGGATATTAAATCCTCCTAACAGAGTCTTGTCAAGCTCAGCTTTTTCAGCAGCATACCAGATACTTTTATATTGTACCAGGAGTCAGGTAATGAGACAGAAGTGCATGTTAGCAGATATTCCCGCCATGGCTGCAAGGAAGATGAAACAAGGTTAAGACATTCAATCAAATGTTCATATAAAGTTTCATGGGACATTTGTCTTGAGTCAGAATTAGCAGCACATTGTTGGTTTCTGGGGATTTGAACTAAAATCACAAATCTGTTCATTTTCCTTAATTAGTATAGCCTTCAGGGAGGCTTGTACCTCAGAGGTTCGCCCTGGTAAACTAAGCCAACAACTCTGCACACAAACATAATTAACCTAACGTGTATTTTTTTTTTTGGGACCTAAGCAGAAACGTACGATTTGAAAACCCATGAGGAACAACTTGCAGGTTCCTAAGGTAAGAAATGCAAAAAAAGCGAGAAGCATAAATAAAACACATTTAATAAGTAATGAATAAAAACATAAGGTAATGCTTGTGTTTAAAAAGACTGCTCTTGCAGAGACCTGGAATGCTAATGTGCCTTCCTGTAAATGCAGTTCCTGGCATGGTTCCCACAGAGTTAAACCCGACTCGTTTTTCAGTTCAGAACAGATTTTCAACGTGCGGTACGTCCCAAATCTCTCTTAATCTATCAGTTTCTTTTTGGCTCATGTTGGTAGCAAATGTGAAATGCTCTTCTTTCTATTCCTTCACAAAGAAACAGATATCTGGGATGCACAACCAGTAAATGATGCTATGAACAAAGAGTTTGAGCTGATCTCTGCAGCTCCTCCAGAGTTACTACAGATTTACTGGCTGTTTCTCTTGGTGAAACTGTTTTTGCTCGAATGTCTGAACCTCAGTGAAGTTGCCCCTCCGCCCCACGACCTTTTTCAAATCAGACAAAATTGGTGTCAAATGTTTGTGCTACGTTTGTACAGCAGAAATTTTCGTGAGTGCCAGTATCATTTTTGAAGATATTAAGAAATGTTTCCAGAGGTCATGAAAGGTCAACCAACCCCCTTACCTTCTTCAAATCAGACAAAATTGGTGTCAATCAACTCGACTACGTTTATGCAGCAAAATTATTTTTGCTTGTGCTGCTTTGGTTTTGAAGATATCGATGAAAGTTTAACTTTGACTTAGTAAAAGTGTTTGGGGGAGGGAAGGTTGCTGGTTGACCTTTTAACCTTTAAACTTTATTTAGTATCTTCAAAGCCAAAGCAGCACAAAGATTTTTGCTGCACACGCCAGCTCAAATGTAGTCGAGTTGATTGACATGAATTTAGTCAGATTTGAATAACATAGGGGAGCTGGGCGACCTTTCACGACCTTAGGAAACATTTCTTGATATCTTTCAAAGGATAGCAGCACACGCACACATTATCACTCAGATAATGTCCGCAGGTCACTTGATCGGGCAAATCACCTCCCAGATATGCTCTACTTGTGTTGGCCTAACACATAAAATCCTAATGTAACACAGGAACATTTGAGGTTTTAATTTAACATGTTTTAAGGAGTTTCAGGCTCCTATAAGATACCACACCAGGTTAGCAAAATGAGCATTATGTGAAAGCCTGATTCTGTCACCGGCAGCTCAACGGGAGATATTAGTGATAATGAGTGAATTGTCTTGGGCTCAGCAGAGTTGACTGAATATCTTTAACTTATAGAAAACATGAATATTTTCATCATAGACCAACAGGGTGTAAATGCAGAGAAGTGGTTAATCATTGCTGAAAAACAAACTCAGCAGCCCAGAGATTCTTGGAAATGAAATGCTCCAAACTTGAAAACTTACTAAAAGAGATCTTTTTTTTTTGAAGGTCTTCTTGAGAAATGTTTTTTTTTCTTATCTTTCTGCCTTTTGTTTCACTGGCACTTTATGTAGTTTGCTGATAAATCCTTTCCTCACAAGTTCTCTTTCTACCCGAAGCAATTTCTTGACCAAAAGGAAGCCAAGACAATGAAAGAGGCATATGTGCTTCAATCAAAAGGCTGCAGCCAGAGCCAGGACAACCTCCACATTCATTTCCCAAAATGCTTTTTTTTTTTCCACACATATATTTCCGCCTGGAAACAAGTAACGTGTTTAACAGCACTTACAGTGAATCAGCAGCCATCCGGCGTTAACTGCCTCCTTGGCCTCTTCGTTTTTATGGGATGTGAAAGCTTGGACACGGCAGAGGCGGACTAATTATAATCAGCTGTCAGAGCTCACCTACAGCTCCATCTGACGGCCTCTGCTGCCGTCCGGGTTTTTGTTTCCACTGGAGGCTGATGAAATGATGAGATTATTTGAATTATAAGAGAAGCACATGGCGTACATCCACCCCCTACCGTGTGATATAATGTTGGTGAAGAATATGAATCAAAGTTTTCACACAAACGGAGCTCACCATCTGTTTCTTCAAACAAGCCTATTTTTTAAAAAACACACCAAGAACTAAGAAAAACAAAAAAAAACCCAGACACTTTAGAATGTTTAGTTTTTCTTCTTCACGTCACACTGAGATTTAGAAAAAAAACAAACTTATTAAAACATTGAAAAAAACACTTCCACTTCTGTTAGAGATTTATTTTTATCCATCAGATGCTTGAGTTCTTTTCACAAAGGGCCCAAAAAGTCTTTCAATGCAGCTGCCTGAATCTCTGAAGTCTTTATGCCTTTTTCTCTTTGGTTCAGTGCAAGGTTAGAGTCATTTGAAACGGAAAAACAAATAGCAGGTTGATTTTTCTACTTACTCATTTATATCATCATTTTGTAAATACAGTGCTGTTCAAAATTGCACATACAAATATTAACCCTCTCCAGGCAGGTGTTGCAGATTTGCAACAACTTAGCCAGTCTTTTCAAGTA